TTAGGTGAGAACGAAGGAAGAACCTGATGCGATATATCGTTACGAAGCGGTAGCCGTAATACACAAGGACCTGGACATTAACAACGTTCAGGGCTTGAAAGGTCTTAAGTCCTGCCACACTGGTGTGGGCCGTAATGTCGGCTACAAAATTCCCATCACGAAGCTCACCGCGATGGGCGTGTTGACTGACATCAACAATCCGGAATATTCCGCTCGCGAAAATGAACTTCGCGCTCTAAGCACACTCTTCGACAAAGGTTGCTTGGTGGGCACATGGTCACCCGATCCTACCATCAATCAGAGGCTCAGTAAGTGGCAGTAATCTTCGAAATTTGCAGCGATTGTGTCATATAGGTGTAGCAAACAATATCATCAATTGAAATAACGCGTACTTAGATCGACTCACTTCTTTCAAGACACTAATTTTCTTATGTTTGAAGTCAATTTGCAATCGCGCGAGTTAAAGTGATCGTGGCTCAAGAAACTGCAATGCAAATGAAGGAGTTACATTAAGTAGAAAGTAAAATTACGTTGCGTAACTATTTTTTCTGATTGCAGTTGACTTTTCTCTTTCACATATGGCGAAATAATTGAAGTATATATTAAAGTATTGATAGATGCGTAATGCGACGAGTTTTATTCGATATTTTTTATTGAATATTTATTTTTGTGTTTATGAAACTTGACACATTTCAAATTCGTGGATTGTATAAATATTCTATTTTAAAAAAATACTAAAAACACTAATTAAGAAATATATAAGTTATTACAATAATTTTTTTAATTAAATATTTTATGAATATTTTACTATTACTGTGATATTGCAGTTGAAGAGGACTTAATTAAATTGAAACGTCCTGCATACTAAATTTATTTTAAATATATACAATTTATTAAAACAAGAACTATATTTTTTGCTCGTTCACGTTGCCCTATTTATTCTATCTGTATTATTTTATTATTACTTTCGTTCTTTCAGAGGAGACGTACAGCAATATGTGCGCTTTATGCGAGAAACCAAACGTTTGCGATTATCCGGACATATACTCCGGATACGAGGGAGCTCTACGTTGTCTGGCTCACAACGGCGGCGACGTCGCCTGGACAAAAGTCATCTATGTGAAGCGTTTCTTCGGTCTGCCCGTTGGAGTTACTCCGGCAATAACAACATCCGAAAACCCGGCTGACTTCCGGTATTTCTGCCCAGACGGCAGCAAAGTACCTATCGATGCAAATACGAAACCATGCACGTGGGCTGCCCGACCGTGGCAGGGATACATGACCAATGGAGCTGATACCAACAACGCGGAAGCAATTCAAAGAGTACGTGATTCGTTTCTTAAGAATCTATTTTATATGTTTTTAATGACTAATTGAATGTTATATGGAATAATAACGAGATTGTCTGAACAAAAGCATTCTTATATTACGTGACGTAGTATCAGAAATTTTAAAATATATACATTATAATTTGTGATAAAAATATTATCATTAATTTTAACTTCTAGAAACCAATAATTAGTTTTCTCAGATATTAGCAAAAATTCACATTATTAAATAGTTAATTAACACTATTAAATATTATCATAAATTATCATAATAAAAATGACAAGTGAATCAAGAATTCAAAGGATAGGTTTAATTAAAAAATGATTTTTTTTAATAACTATTACACTGTATTGAACAGATTGTGATTTAACTTTGGAATCTTTTTCAGGAATTGACGCAGCTAGGTCAGCTTGGCGAAAATGAGAAAGCAGATTGGTGGAAAGATCTTTTGCTTCTCAATGAGAAGACTCTGGCTGTCGCTGCACCACCAGTGTCGCCGGATGAGCATTTGCAAAGCGCGAAATATATGGACGTGATCGAGAGGAATTCCGGAGCGCCGGAGAGAGACGCTCGTTGGTGTGTTTGGGACGAAAATGCATTGAACAAGTGTCGCAGCCTCGCTAGAGCCGCTTTCTCTAGGTATAGTCACGAAAATGTCGATTTTCAATCAATTTAACTTGGTGTCTCGAAGCAAAACAAATTTAATTTCTTAGTTGTTCTGTTATCTAAATCTAATTAAAATCAAAATTTGTGTCATAATTGTCTATCATCTGAAATCTAACAAATTATTATTAATTAATAAATATTTAGAACGTAAATAAATGAGAAATCGATTTTATGCCTTGATAGAAATTACATTGTGAACTTGATTGAAATTATGAAAATGCAAACATTCTTATTTAGGGTTGTTAAAAAGTACTTTCTCGTTTATACTGTGTCGTTACTTTTTATAATAAACAATTTGATAATGACGTTGCAATTTTTTATGACACTAACTAACTAAATGCTAAGGTTGTGCTAAGGCTGGAAAAGTCACTTTAAAACGTAACTTGTCATAATTATGCGTTATTCATTAAAAAAAGTAACGGGTAACGAAGTAATGAAATAGTAACGAAATAGAAACTTTCAAATTTCGTTATTTTCTACTAAAATTTGTAACACTAATTACCATTACCGTTACTTATTAGAAAAGGTAATTACGTAAAAAAAAATAATAATAAAAAAGATAACTTCGTTACTTTTTTATGTAACTTATATATACATACAACTCTGCTCTTATTATATCTTAATATACATTATATGTATCATAATCTATATAGAGATGCCAGACCCAGATTTGATTGCATACTGGAAAAAGACGAGACTGCTTGCTTGAAAGCTGTCAGGGATAATGGAGCGGATATCACAATAATCGACGGCGGATCAGTAAAACGTGCAATTAATGAGTACAACGTAAAACCAATCGTCGCTGAGACATATGGTGAGGGATCTACGAAATTCAACGAACGACCAGCACTTGCTGTTATCAAGAGCGGCTCTTCCATAAATGGATTGGGTACGATATTACAATCTATAAACTCCGTAAAATTATATGATGAAATATATGAGCAATTAAAAATTGGAACTCTAATTTTACATTAATAAAAATATTATTTTAACAAAACTATCAATATCGAAGCAAAATTGTAAGAAAAAATGAGTTATTCGAATAATTAAAAAAGTTTGTAGAAAAATTAGCTCTACATATATAAATTTGGAAAAGCCTATAAATTTCTTTCATGCGTAATTATCAATATTCTCGTTCACAGGCGATCTTAAAGACAAACTATCTTGTCACAGCGGTTACGAAGGCGATTTTGCTGGTTACAATGCACCAGCTCGCATACTCAAACTTAACAGCCTTATTAACGAACCTAGCGAAATAAATACCTTCTTCTCTAAGTCTTGTGCACCTGGTGCACCTCTCAATTCAAAATCCTGCCAACTGTGTGTTGGTAATATCAAGATCGACGACGATCAGGCAAAAGAAGCAACGAAATGCAAACCTACGAATGCTGAATATTACAACGGCGGAAAAGGAGCACTCAGGTAATATCATCCCTTTATTACTTTTTGTGCAAGTATCTTTGGCTAATTTATATATAAATAAAATGGAAATTACTCGATTTTACTTAAATAAAATAAATTGCGTACAGTATTTGCGATTTGATAATAAGAATATAATATATTTAAAGAAAATTTTATTATCTCCAAAGAGATAACATATTAAAGAGAGTGTTTAATTTCTTTCAGATGTTTGAAGGATGGCAAGGGTGACGTTGCATTCCTACCTTTGACGGCTTTGCAGCAGCTCGGTAAACACAATTGTGTTAAATAAATTACACATGTAATTATACTTATGTCGTTTCTGAACGTTATATATCAAATTATAGATAACGAGAAGGATGCCGCTGGCAAACTCGAAGATTACATCTTGCTCTGTCCAAATGGTGGCCAAGCGCCCATCAACGAATGGGAACGTTGTAATTTAGGTTTAGAGCCACCAAGAATAATTGTTAGCTCGGCTGGAAAAAGCCCAAACGCCCTTGAAGAATTGAAACATGGCATTTTGGCTGCGAGTACATTGTACTCCAAAAATCCGGATCTGCTGCGCCTCTTTGGTGCCTGGGGCGACAAGCCCAATGTATTATTCAAGGTAAGATCATCATTTCCTTGGCTAAAATAATAATTAAAGTCTAATCGAATTTATATTAAGTGTATCACAAATAGGGTATCTAATATTAAATATTGTTCTATTATATAAATGTAGCACGTATATATATAT